ACGTGTGGCCGAGGGTGGTGTGAAGGACATCCGTCTCTCCCGTTCAACACTACCATGGGTTTGTGCCCAATTAAAATTACTATTAACTGTGGCCTTCGTTAGTAGGATTGATGATGGCAACTTTTAATCAAGCATTTGGCTTGCGGAAGAGGCAGAGGAGGGAAAGGATTGCGGAATAACATCCGTGGATATTTACCACGGATGTATTTAAAAAAAAAAAAATTCCCCATAAGTAATTTGAGTGTCATACAGCTGGATTTCAAAATTCAGGATTTAGGCGTGGGAGAGATAAAATATATTTTAAATCCCCACTTTCTCTCCCCAGCCAGATGAATTTTAGCAAGGATCAGGTTAAGGTGGTGATTGTTTTCCATGTGGGCTCTTGAATGCTTCTGCCAGGACTGGATTTTTACATCCCATTTATAACGGGGCTGGAGCAGGGGAAAGGTGCTGTAATGGAAGCGCTGACACCACTTCACCACATGGCAGCCCTGCTAACAATGCCCGTGGAGCTGGAGGAGCCAATTTGGCAGCTTATACGGGGCGAAGCCTGACAGAAAGGCTCTTTGAAAATAAGTTACTGCTCTAAAAATAAACAGAAAAAGACTAACTTTCTTTGCACTGAATGGGCGGCAAAATTGCTCTCGGCTTTATTGGAGTCCCAGGACATTGTCCAGGGCTTCCCCAGCCAGTGCTGCCACAGGATGGGGTTAATTGCTTGAGGTGTGGTGGGAATTGTTGGGTGTGATTTATTAACATTCTTTATCTGATATAAGAGGTACCTGAAGGAGAGAGGAAAAACTAGCTAAGCCGGAATAGCCCTGGCCTTGCCGAGGGTGGAGGCGAAGTAGTGCACAAGACTAAAGGTGTCTTATCTACACCGTGTCCTTCTGTCCCTGTGGGACTGCAGGAGGAGAGCGGCTGGCCACCAAGTGTCCTCCCAGCCCCACGCCCCAGCACTCCGGGGCTGCGCTGGGCTGGTGTGGTCCCGCTCTGGGCTTCCTCACCCATTTTTCATGACCGTCATCCCTTTCGCTTGTGTGGAGTGGAAACCCAATCCTGGGGAGGAGGAACAAAGGCTGGGTGCTTTAAGCCACCATGCTGTGGTCTTCAGGGAGTTTCTGATTATGTTCTTGGAGGAGCTACCTTTCTCTTTTCTCCCATTGAAACACATGTTGTGCCACAAACCACAGGGCAAACAGTCGGCAGATCAAACTGACTGCAGGTGTAGGCAGCAACCGCTCTGCTCGGCGCAGGGTACACAGACCCAGGAGAGGTGGTACTACAGAAAAGAAGTTGCTATTTAACACCATGTGAAAGTGCTTCAGCTGAGGACACCACCATTTATCTTGATTTTTCAAGAAACTAACTCCAAAGCTGAGTTTCAAGCAGAGCTGAACTCAGTTGTTTGCGGTGGGGAGAACTGTGCAAAAATCAGGAAGTTCTGAGGCTCGCTGAAGCAGAAACGCTTGTTCAAACCGCAAAATCTAAAGGGAAATTTAAAGGAGCCTGGGGCTTTTAACAAGAAATTGTTCTTTTTACATAATGAGAGTTTCTCATAGCAATGCACCAGTGTTTCAGCAGGGAGGTGACACCTAGCCAGCAGGACGCAGAGCACCGGAAAGGCAAGGGATGCTCAGGAAGCAGGAGAGCAATGGGGACATCACAAGAGCTGGGAAAATGAATTCAGAATATGTATTTCAAGTGGACTTCTACGGTTTGGAAAAGCGTAGGGGTTACTTGGAAAGCAGGCTATGAACAGATGTTTTAAACTCAAAACATGTTAAGGTGAAAAGCCCCGATGCAGCCGTGCTCAGCGAGGCCACTGGCACGGTGTGCCACATCCCTCACTGCAGTGCACTGCCTCGCTTCAGAAAATGTATTTATTTAGTGGCAGCAGTGGTTGTGTTTACCCATTCCCCTGTGACAACGGTGTCCACTGCGTGGAAACCCAGGTTGCATTAGTAAAGCTAGAAAGCTAACAAAGCTGGGGCATCTTTGCATTCACTGAGCATCTGTGCATGTTTACTGAGCTCAAACCCTTTTGCTTTCTTTGTCTCAGACCACGGCCTTGGAAATGCAATAGAAAATTCCAGCAATTCCCTCCAGCCGAGCAGAGGCTGCCACGTGGGCAGGTCCATGCATGGCCACCAGTCCTCTCCACCATCAGACGTCTTCATGTAACTCCAGACTCAGACCGAGATTAGCTTTCAGCCGGAATGCACGTTTGCAGTTCTTCAAGGAGGAAGCCTTGTGTACTGTCGAAGGGTTTAATTTCATTTCTCTGTACAGCTTGTAAAAGGCTTCTTGGAAACCAGATCTTCGCATTTTACTTGAGTTCGCTTATCTGCCAAAAGCTGTTTCAAGTTACTCTTTCCAAGCCACGTTAAATGAATCCTTAGGTAAGAAGGAGGGCGCAACAACAAGTACTGTATACCTTTGTTGAGAAGTCACTGCTTCTAACTACATTCCCTCCTTATAAGCTTTAATATTGAAGACTACAAAATGAGGTCAACCTCTATTAAATATAATGACTTTCCCTGTGGAGCTTGCAATGAAAGCAGCTTCACAACAAAGGTTTCTATTTAAGGGGGGGAGGGGGTGTTTCTGTGACAAAGAAGTCCCCTAACTGGGTGCAGGGGCTTCGTTTTCATTTGCTGGCTAACAAAATGAAAAGATTTGGGTTAAGACTTTAACCAGTGCTTATCTGAGAAAACAGATAGGAGAAGCTGAATTAAAACATGAAGATGGGGAAGAGGAAGAGCAAAAGCCACATTGCTGCAGGAGCTGACCTAGAACCCATCTGGCAAGCAACACCTTAAATTGCAGGCGGCTCCAGAGAGGGCAGAAAGCACAGCTGCCTTCTTTAACCAAACCAGGGCCATCACGAGCCACAGCTGCATGCAGTGAGCAAAAAGAGGTTATAGAAGAGGACCAGGTTAGACACAATTTGCTCCCCATAGGTGCCCTGAGGAACAGGCGGTGTTGTCTGCTCCTCGAGGAGATGACATGAAACTTGTAATGGATATGGGAGCCAATTTTGAACCCTGCAAAGAGCGCTGTTCTGTGACCCTCTTGCTGGGCAGCTCTTGTATCTGTGTGCCTGTCAGGCAGATGTTGCCCTGCCCAACTGGTAAGTCTGCAAAACTCTGATTTTCACATGGCAAAAGTGCAGTAGCTTGAATGGGCTGTTTAGTGCTACTGTAGCTATTTGTGTGGCTCTTTAGCTTGGTGTTTTAAGCTAGCAAGGCACAATGCTGTCTTAAGAAGTAAGTTCTCTTTTACACTAGAAACTGGAGGTAAACATGGCCATAATTTTTAAAAATTGCTGTTGCCCCGATAATAGTCTAACAACTGGCAAAGTAAGCTTGCTCTTTCTTTAAAGGCATTTTTTCTTCCTGCAGCCTTGCAGACAGAAATTTGCCAGGCAGTTGTTAAAACATAGTGCCTGCCAAGCACAAGAGGATTATTTTGGCATCAGCTCTCAGCTAATATTAACTGCACCGTGTTAAGGTCGCCATGTTTGAGGCTGTGTCGAAAGCAGTTTTAGAAAGGTGGCTGCCAGCTTGTTCATCTCCCGCCTCTGGCTGCTCGGTTCTCCCCC